GATTCATTACTTAATTTTGTGACAAAATCTGCCATCGTATGCTTGTTGATTTTCCTTACTGTTTTATATTGTTGATTACTGGGCTGAAAGTCAATATTATTTATTTCTATGAGTTGAGCATCATGATCGGATAAGCCATTTATAAAGGGTCCTACAGTATAATCTCTTAATTTTGAGTTATCAATGAATATATTATCTATCGCTGAACTAGAATTATTTTGAACTCTTGTGGGAAAGTTAACAGTACTGGAGAGATTGTAAGATGATAACAAAGAGTCTAAATTTAGTTTCCTAAATTTCCTAGTTTGCACTTGGGACGGAGTTCATATCATTTATCGTAAAGTTCATTGATTGGAAATAATGATTTGAATTTCATTCAGAAACAGTAATGCAGTATATGCATATAAGTTTAACAGTAATTTCTGCTGTACCTACTGGCAAGAGTGCTAAGTAAATTTGATAATATCTCTGCGTGTTCTTTATAAGGTCTATGGTAAGAAAGAAGAAACTGACAGGCAAGTTACATTATTTTATACAAGGAGTCCCATAAGTTTTGGGCCATAGAAGACCTCAGTTATTTAGCAAAATACAGAAAACTATAAAGATGGAAAAGTTGTTGCAAATCATATGTTACCAATCTCAGGCGTTGGAATATTTTTACTAGGATTAACTGTTATGGCACTGTGCTCTTTACATGTTGACAGTAAACATTTATGGTGATGTTGACAAGGTAACATGACAGGGGAATATGCTTCTAGGATAGGGACTTGTGGTTGTGAAGGAGAGACAGGTTAAACATGAAACAGAAATTTAATGTGTTCGTATAGAAACAGTCTTGCAGTGTGCCAACTGTGGCAAATTGTTGGAAGTCCACAAAACCACACATGCGTATGGAACAACTCAAAGGTTTTATATTCACTGTAGTAAGAGTTCAAACTAGAATGCAAACATTGCAATGTTGCTAGTGATGGCTGAACATGCAGGATGGTTTTTGTGCTGATGTGCAACAGTGCTTCATGGAAGGTTATTATGCACTATGGAGTTCAGATGACCCCACAGGAAAATATCTGGTGGTGTGAAGTCTGGAGAATGGTACCATCAACAGACACAACTTCATTTAGTGGTCAGCCAAGACTCATCATGTAGTAGCTCTTGACTCTCACTGACACCCAAATCAACATGTGGTGTGGCATCAGTTGCAGTGCTATTGTGAGGCCTGCCTTTCTGAATAACAGGTTAACAGAAGACTGTT